CCCCAAAACCCCAAAACCCCAAAACCCCAAAACCCCACGTTCAGGGTTTAGAATTGAAGGATATTATGTGTTGCATAAGGAATGATGATAAAATATGAGACTAGACATCCTTATAAATTCAGGATAGGAATCTAGCTTCTTTTCGACCAGCTTTTCCTAAAGTTCAGGGATCTATTCAGACTACTCATGTTTGATAGCTTATAGTTCCTAAAGTCAAGATATTCAGAGTGAGGAATACTTGGTGATTCCAGAGATGCTTTAAAGGAGCGGTCTAAACATTACAAAGAAGAGCTTACTTGAATTAACGGATCTAGTGAAGGAATCCATCTGCTTTTGAAGAGAATTCAGTTTTTCTGCACTCAATACTGGTGCTATACTCGGACAAACGATACTCTTCTTGGGATTTACTGAGGAGCTATATTGTTTCCTCATCTGGTCAGAGTACAAAGTCACTCTTTTCTGTATCGAATTGACTCGAAAGCTATAGAGATTCACCACGAATGTACTTCTTAAGGGATATTTTCCGTACGAAATTTTCTACTGTTGGGCTGTTATTTGGACTCAGATTTCAAAGAATATGCTAATCTGTTGTTGATCTTAATAGAATTATTGGATAGTAACTTCTTTTTATCTGATTCTCTCTTTTCCTTCATCATGGATTTTATGGTATCAGCCATAGTGTACTTCTTAGCCATTACTTGCGCTATGAATTATGACAAAACAATACTTGACAGATTCTTCAGTGATAGCTTTAAAGGTGTCAACTTCTTATTTTTAACTTTGGCGTTTTTCTTCAACTTAATAGAAAATCCTAGTGGGTTTGAAAATTCTTTCTGTTGGCTTTCCTGAATCTTTCCTTCTAAGATATTCATGGTCTGGCCTGGAGACAAGCGAGCTTTGTCTTGCGGGACCAATGATATATTCTTAAGACCACCTAGTATTCCATGTCTTCTGTCATGCCTTCTTTTCTTCAAGGAGGACCTTCTAGCATTCTTGGGGGAATACAGCTTGATATCGTCCTTTGATAACTTCTCTTGAATACTTCTATTTAATATTTTCGATTCTATTGTGAAATGCGACCTTGTCCTTGTATAATATCAGGTCTGAGATCTTGGTCCAGAAGGAATTATTGGTCTTCTTCTGTTTATTTCAAACTGAAAGTCTTGAACAAATGGCCTTCTGATAGACTATCGTCTGAGGAGTAATCTATAGGGTCAGAACAGAGCTTACTCAGACCATTCTGCATTTCTAGTTGGTTGTTATAAGCTGAAATCATAAAATCCATCTTCTCTTGTGTCGTTTGGAATGATTTCTAAAAGGAATAAGTCATTTTTCTATTATTTCTGGGTTCAGGACTGGATCTTACCTGTCTTTTGGGCTTGTTTAACTTACGTAAGTTCAGAAGAAGCTTATTTATTCTAAAATTAGAGGAATATGTACCTTTGTTGGACTACTACTTTTGTTGTTGAGATTAAACGAGACTGAACGATTCGACTCTACACAAAATATTACCACTTCGATACAAAAGTCCAAAGATACCTTTATTTCTGGGTTCTGTTAATTATGCGAGAGTTAAGGCTCACATTGGCAACATTTTCCTTAGGCTTTTCTTTGTTTTGGATCTCTTTCTTCTTGCTGTTCATACTTCAATAAATTATTTTCCTCGAGGGGTTTTGGGGTTTTGGGGTTTTGGGGTTTTGGGGTTTTGGGGTTTTGGGGTTTTGGGG